GCTTATAGGTAATTAAATCCTTTTACAAAAGGAATTGTAATTGTGAACTGTAAAAAAAGCGTAAATCACACGAAAGGCTTAAGCTACCACATAAAGACTTAATTCCTAGCTTAATTCCTTGCAGAGATGCTAAATCAGAAAACACTACCACTGCAAATTGCAGTCCGTAAATAATTTTAGCCATCTATGCTATGCTAAAAGGAAACGGTGGGTATATGTATAAGTAAAACCATTCAATAATGAAACCATAGTCATTGAATAGAACGCCATGGTGGTTCTGTGACCTGTGTAGTGTAAAACTTCTATTTATTGGGAAAGAAATTAATTCTAAATTTAAGGCGTTTGTAATTGTTTTTAAAAATGTTGTTAGTTGTTTATGAACTCCGTAAATTTTGAGTCTCTTGTTAATTTGGGCAAACCTAATGGTCTGAAATTGTGACCATTTCAAGTCATTTTCAGTATGACGAATAATGTGGTGCAAATCTCATTTATTTTGATACGCAGCAACCCTCTGCATGCGGCAAGCGTGAGATTAGTGGATAAAGTTGTTGGGATTTCGGTTACCATATTTAGCCTCATTAAAGCTTATTTTCTGAAGTGTTTTGATAAATAACAAACATCGTATTTCAGACAAAACCTACGAACATAAAGCTTAATTCTTTAAGACGATTATTTTCTCCTCTGTGAACCTCACGGATGAAAAATTTACAAAAGGAATTCTCAATTAACGTAGCTACAAAGTACAAAAGCCTACAACAAACAAAGTTAACTGAACATCGTGTCGATTTGAATGAGTACCAATGAAGACAATAGGGGTTGGGAATGTGGGTGCAGAATTTCATTTTTATTTCACGACCATTCCTCAAGATTAAGGTGAAAACTTAACATCGTAAATTTGGAAACGAACAGCTCGTAATTTTACAGGGATTCAAGGATGAAAAAAGCTACTTTCAGCCGTGATTCTATTACGTGTAACAACCGCCTGCACGAGTGACTATAAGGTCATTACAGAGGCGGATAGAAGCGAGAATAAAGTAAAGCAACAATTTGTATGAGACGTTTTTGCCTCAAATGTTTTCTCTTAAGGGTAGCGCTTCAGTCACCATGAGAACTTCTAAAAACATTCCACCTACATAATTATACTTATCCTCAGGCACCTTTCATTTTCCAGCAAGATGAGGCAAATAATTTGAAACAGCTGATCGGGGGTTGGAATAGTTTTGTGTTATAATCTGTTCATCACTTTCTCTGCGGCCTAATCTGCTACATGCGTCGGCAGTGGAGAACGAGTTGAAAAGTTCAAATTATGGAAGCGCCCAAAAGAGCTCATTTGATCAATATACGTGGGCGTCCACGAGAGAGACAAAAGCTTCAAAATTCTCTAATCTAAATATTCATAGCACGCACGATAACGAAACATCTCGCCCGAACTTTACATGATATATTGAGGAGAGGCGATACTCTCAAATGTAATGCTGTGAAAGCAATTCGAAACGCCTCTACAGAAATAGAAGAACCATTCCAAAGGTTCCATCATATAAATGAACGGAGGTATCACGGGACTGTAACCCTCTAAAATTATACAGCGGGAATGTGATTAATTTCATTAGGAAAAAATTCCATTAAAAATCCTAAGATACACGGGAGCTCTAATAACACTCGCCGTATAATTCGCTTAAAAAGGGTGAAAAATGAAACTTCCATTAGAAAAGGAAAACGCGGACAATTTGGGGGAAAATTCAAAACACGAGACGTATAATCAATAAACGCCGAATCATTCTTCCGATTCGAAATAAAACGATGACGTTTTACTTTTATGAATTCTGGCGCTTTCGAGACGGAAAAATGTGGAAATGAGTGTGTGACCGTTCCAAAGGATAAATTTCATTTTTACGAGGCACTTTCATTATGTAGTCGAGAGTAAATGTGACAAAAATGAAGACGAATTAGGCTATTACATGGGAATAATGGGCGAAAGAACAAATAATTAATTGCTACTAAAAGTACAGTGCTCTTTTAAATATGGAAATGCGCATTAACCTAATAATTACTTACTATTATTACATACTTAATTCCTACACCCTGAATAGCTTTAAAACGTATTGAGATGATACAAATCACGAGGGTTGTTTAACACGTCTCCTGTTTTGGGATAAATATCAATGATACAGAGTCAATGCACTCTAGCCAGCTACTATCCCGCGATCCCTGTCTGGAAGTGTTTTTCCTTGAGCTCGGCAAAATAGGTGCTCGCGCCCTTTCACTTCGTCTTTCCTGGAAAATGTTTCTCTAGCCAAATTTGGTTTTGGAAACAACAACAAATGATCCCACGTGCTTTTACAGTGTGGTTCAAATTCGTGGTTCTCCATTGAGATCTCCATAACGGTGCAGATATACAGTGTAAGTTATATTTGGGTAGATTCCCCTTCTAGTGACCAAAAAAACGCATTTGAAATTTTTGAAAAATATCACCGAAAAATGTGGTTTTCATTTTCCTGTTCCTGTTATTTAGGGGATTTTTTTGGGAGACTCTGAATCTGTTATCCGAATTTCCATAACAGGTTAGGTGTAGAAGCTACAGGCTACTTTCTTATTTCTTATGGGATTTTTACGGAATGAGATAGAGGACAAAAAAAGAAAAATAATGATGTGTAATGTGGATACATTCTATACATAAATTTACAGGGAAAATTTAAATATCAAAATTACATTCATTTTTCAACACCAAGAAGGACCGTGATTTATTTATCGTTGCGAATATTCGGGAACTTTCAAAAATATTTGAGAATTTGTGGTAATATTCATCTTTTACAAAATGTACTATACTATGCTATACTAATTAAAATACACCAAAGATAAAATCAATCTTTTAATAAAGTTATGTTTTTTAAAAACAATAAAATGCATCTAAGTTTTTAATTGTTTATTTAACATACAAGGAAAAACTTTTTAGTCTCAGTTCATGCCAAAACAAATCTCTTAAACATTCGGACAAATTAAAGAAAACGCACTCAAAAATTAAAAAATAAGAACCAATATTCAGAAACTTCAAAAAACCTGAAACTTTCACGAAACTGCAGAAAATTCCACGATGCAGTCCTTAAAAGTTGACCACCTGAGTAATGAAGAACCTTCCTGCATGTATACGTTCGAGTAACCTCGTGAAATTTTTTGGGAAATATTTGCTTAAATTTCCGGTGTGCGAATATTAGTTCTTAGCAAAACGAATATTCCAGGTATATTTGTTAACTGAACACATATTGATAAAAAGTGACATTGCTGCGATTAATAAAGTGATCGATTTAAATCCTAGGCTAAGGTTATAGTATTGGAAAGGCCATGGCCAAGGTTTAAAATAAACTCTCAAGTACTATCGTGGTTTAGGATACATACAATGTTAAACGAGGTTCCCGTCCAATTTATTTTTAGCACGTTATCAGGGCTATTTATTTATTCATCAGCTGAATGTACTAATAAACTTGACTTTAACTGTACGTATATGAGTGCAGCGTATGGGGTTGACCAATTATGTTATTCCATAATCGGCTTTCAATATGTGAACGGATTATTCTGTAAAAGTTGGGCGCCACCCCCAAACGCTTGTCAAATCAAAAATATACTGCTAATAGTGCAGTATTTTAGTTCGTGTCAAAGTTAACAGTTCATAAACAAATTTGACGTTAGGCAATGGATACAAAAAATGCTCGTCCTTCAACACAACAAATGATTTTTCCGATGAACTTTGTACAGTTTTACAAATTCATTTCACCGAACCGTGAACCATTTTTTATTTTTTCATATTTACTTGAAAATGACAACAAACATTGAATTAATGATCATTAACCTACGAGTATTCACATTTGAAAACAATGGACCGGTTTAAACTTTATAAATTACTTCGGCTACCAAAACACAATTGAAAATTTTGCATTTAATACAATTTGCTCATGAATTAAATATAAGATCGCCAAATTGAATAAATTTAATACGACAAATACATTTTGAATAACTTAACCGCCGTAACCCCGAACTGATATGTAATTAGACAAATGATTGGCACTAAATGAACGGAAATTATTGAAAATTAAAACCAAGAGTTACGTTCTAATGAAATTTAGTGTGTGAGAAACCGCATTTACAAAAAGAACTCCTCAAAAAATTAACTCAATCAGTTGTTAAAAGTATCAAACTTCATTATTACGTTTATAAAAGAAGAATAAATATTATTGTTGTTATTAAGGTCTAATCCTCTCAAATTAAAAGCTAAAATATCCAAATAGGTTGATCCGATTTTAGTTAAATTGGGGATACTTGTCAACTGATAACTTGTTATATTGCATAAATTTCAAATGGGGGGAAAAATGAATTTTAGCTTCCGAAAATTGGAATTATGCAATACCTGCTAAAAAAAAAGCAAAATATCTGTAGCTTTGCAATGCACGACTTCCCCCGTAGCTCAGCTGCGATTGTTTCTACTATCTCGTTCCCTCACAATATATTAGATATCTGAAACTTTGCACAATTTTTCAAGTCACTCTTTAAATAAGCGAATAAACGCATCTGTCATTTTTTCGTGTTCGTAAATTTCATTGAAAAGGTGGACATTCGCGTTTCGTAATCATATTATCCAAAAATTGTGAAATTACAAACATCGTACGTAGAAATAGTTGACTATTATGTAAATCACGCTTTATTTGACACAAATTCGTTCAGTAGCTTTTTAAAAAAGTCAGCGGACTATACATTTTCACTCCGATCGTCCCAAAGGGTTAAGGGTTTTTATTGTACTAGTAACATCTTTTAACACTGAATATGACAAGAGAAAAATTGTATGTATGTTCATTGTACGCGACATATTTTTCCAATAACTTCATTTTGGAAATTTCCTCGTATACTTCAAGTCGAGCTTCATGTAGGTACATAAATAGTGATTTGTTTAAATTATTATTTCGCATATACTTATTAATAAATATGAATATATTCTTTAAAATAGTACTTACCACACCGCCGCCTGCCGAATGCACCAATACGCTCTTTCCCTTCGAAAGACCGCCAAGTTCAAAAAGCAAGATGTAAGCGACAATGTAATTCATGGTAATGGCGGCAGCGTCCTGCGGACTCATTCCTTCGGGCAATTTGAATACGTACTTCGCCGGTACGGCAACAAGTTCGGCCCATGCTTTGTATTCGGGAAGAGCGACAACGTGATCTCCAACCTGTAATAAAAAAAAAATTGAGAACGGTAATATTTACATATTAGCGATCGTGTTACATCGTTTACGTAAACTTGCTGCTGGTGAAAGGTAACGTAACCGAAAATCTATAAAACTGGAGATCGCTTGTCTCGTTTTAAAGGGGCACGCAAGTGAACTATTTAAAGTTTAAATTGGGTTTGCGTGTAAAGGTACCTTCAGAGTTACGATCAGAAATAAAAAGTGCATGAGGCGAAAACGAAACAAATTAAGGAAAATTTATGCTGTGCGTCAGAATCTTGCAGGGTATCCTACATTTTTTAAATGTAAAACAAAAACTCATAAAAACACTACAATACACCGTTGTACTACCAACCCTACTGATTTTTTTTTTAATTTAATTTTGTAATCACTAACCTATGTAAAATTGACATTCGTGAATCTCTAACCTAGAAAAAGCTTTATTTTGTGTAGGTATTATTATAAAACTTGTACTTCCACGCACTTGATTGACTTGTTAAATTAATAAACAAAAAAAATTCTGTCCACCGTTCACTTTCTTATCAATATAATATGTTAATTTAGAGACTTCAAGTGCTAGTAGTGAAAAAAATAGTATATATACCACGGTAGAGAAGTCTATTTTTGCCCTCGCACCTTACACCCCTCGGCGCAAGAGCCTCGAGATGTAGTCTTGGTGCTCAGGCAATAATACTAAACTTCTCTGCCTTGGTACCTATATAATGTACTATTATTTTATTATATAGCATTATGTTAAATTGCCATTTTAATAGGTTTGAATGAGTAGGCTAAGCCGTTCTTTAACCGTAAGGATAAAGTGATCACTTTAACCGGATGGGTAGATAAAGTGTAACAGATGACTGTGAATTCTAATGACATCTGTCATTCTTCTTTAAAATGCACGATATAAAATGGCGTTTAGAACATATGACAATTCTGTTTCTATGGAAACGATCGCGACCGCAGAACCTAAGCTTGCTATTTTTGACGTCTCTAAATTAAAAAAAAAGAATTGTCAGAAGCATTACAATTATTTATATAGCTTCTGCTATAAAATAACGTTTTGAATTATACGCGACGATAAGGGGAAACTAACTGCTGCTCTGCCACTCGTGAATTAACATCTTTCACTCAATGGTTAAAATATCCCTTTATCGTCTTGTATAATAAATAACTATTTGTTGTGTTTGATATTATCAAGACAGGGTTTGTATAAAGGACGGTAAGACGTGAAAAGAAATTTTCTCAGTCATTTTAAATATCTAATAGATGGCGCCAATACAAATAAATAAAAATGAATGTCTCTTAACCGTTCATTCAATTGCGATGAAACATTGGGGAATGGCTGGACGTACGCCCGCGAAGGTTTCTGAAATAGTAAAACACTTCCCGAAATTCTAGACGTAATTGTTTATTACGAATTTAATAAAACGAAAAAGGCAACAAACTATTTAATTGACCTTGAATATATAATAATATTCGATATTTCGTTGTATCGGTTTATTAGTGCTATTTACAGACACTTTCAACAAGTTGTATTGTCATCATCCAGCATTATTTATTATTGGCAACAATCATGATCTTCAACCATTGTAGACAATCAGTATGGTGAGGTAAATGCATAATCTCTTTGGTGATGAGGAAAAGGTACAGTAAAGACGTTGGCATTTTCCGTAAAAATGTTCCCGAATCATAGAACGGACCCAAAACGTAATTGGAGATATTTCACTTCCACTGCTGTTAAGTAGGTACTTCATTCATTACACCGAACGTTTTGTTCAGAAGTAATTAGAAAAATGAAACCGTGAAAAATGGCGTTCGATTTGCTTTGTCGTGATAAATAATCTTTCCTTCAAGAGCAGCTGCTGCCATCCGAATTTAATATGTAGGAAGACTATTTTAGTACCTTAGGGAGTGGGTGACATTTCAGTAGGGCTGTTACAAATGAAAGTATAAATAAACAAAGACGAGTGCTATATTATTCAATTAAAGTGCTCCATCCAATTCTTCCAGACGAAATTAGCCCATTTAATTTACTTAGTACAGAAAAATGGCCTTATTTTATTTAGAGAGAATATAATTTGCAGAACGTTGTATAATTTCTGAATGATCCCTTAAACGTGTGCGATTTCTACAAATGCGTAAGCAACAGGCGAGAAAACTGTGTGGATCCATGGGCGTAAAACAGGACAAACTAGAAAGAGTAAATCAGGAAATTATTTTACTAACTGTATTGTTGTCTATTGTTTAAATAAATATACAACGTTTAACAACGTTATAATCTTTGAGCACAGCTGATGCTTTAGTTGGTGAACTAGGTCCAAGTTATAATGGACACTATCTGAATTATTATGCAAAATTGCTTATGTTTACAGTTAGCATGGTTACATTCTAATTTTATATTAATTGTCAAATAAACATTCGAAGGCGGTATGCATTTCTAGCATTCGTAACGATTAATGAATTACTATGCGATAACCTTAATCATACTTATTACGTAAGATTTGTGGTTAATTATCGCACATGAACGGAATTAAAAATACACCGTTCCTTAGTTTTTTGGTGAAAAACTGAAAGAAAGAATTTATCGAAATTGATCAAATTCTACGCTAAATAAGGAAAGCACTCAGATAGATCTCGAAAATCCTATTTTCGTTCAAATCCGATTTGGGTGAAAGCAATCATGGGAATGGATTCGTGGCCGACTAACTCTGAAAAATTGCATTTGAGGCGTACTTTACGAATTCAGCGACCTATATTTTACCTTTTAGCTGTCGGTAAAAGCTGGTTAGTTGATTGTTTCGGTTATTATATGAACATGGGGCCTAAATAACTCGTCGAATTTAAATTTGTACTAAAATAAAATTGAGTATACCGTGTTATCACAACAATCGATGATGTAATCGAGTGAGTGCATACTTGTGTAGCGCAAATCAATAAGCTCTCGGAACCTGTCGGATAACCTAAACCATATCAACAATACAACGCCATTAACATCGATTGGCCAACCAAATAACATTTTGGAAGAAATTCTGCAATACCAAAGTTTAACGAACGCGATTGTATGAAAATGGACTAGGGCGCTGTGTTTGATTTGTAGTTTTTTGGTGAAAAACTGAAAGAAAGAATTTATCGAAATTGATCAAATTCTACGCTAAATAAGGAAAGCACTCAGATAGATCTCGAAAATCCTATTTTCGTTCAAATCCGGACAGACTGAAGGAACGGACAGAGCCGTAGGGGCCTTTACCGTACTCGTTCTTCTTATAAGAAATGTTACTTTTAATCACGATTTCAGGTAAAATTTAATACAAAACTCAGTAAAATGACTCGGAAATTAAACTCGGCCCCAAACGGGCCTCGTACTTCAACATTTCCTCACCAGCAATGTGACATTTTCCTGACTTTTATTTAAATAACTATTATATTCAACGGTTCTCGAGTTACGTACTTCCAAACATCAGTTATCTCGTGTTTACAGTAACGACAAACGCAAAGATAACACACTTAATTAAGCATACATCTGCAACTTTTGTATTTAAAATATTAACTGCAGAGCAGTTCGTCACCACATTGGTCAAGAAAAACGGCAAGATAAACAAACGACAAAAGCGATTACCAACAGGTTACCTGCAGGTTTGCAATTTTCGGTAGTTGAGACAATATTTGCTTAGCGATTCTTCGAATTTAGATACAGTGTAATAGATCAGTTCCAGCTAATCGACAGGTAGCAATCTTCAATTCGAAAGCAAGTGTTTGCATATTATCCAGAACACGGTACTTTTTTAATACAATCACCAAAATGCTCGTAACTTACAAAGAAAAATTAGCCAAAATGAGACCTACTACCAATTAATTCGAACTTACGTACCCCATTTGTAACTGGGTTTCGGATTGCGATATAGGTAAAACAAAGATAGGTAATTAAAGTAACACTAAAAAGAAACATGTTAACAAAACGAAATTCTATGAAAATAACTTTACTCTAAGAGGATACAATCACCGTCCCATTCGCGCAAAGACGCTTAGATAATAATTCATTTAAACAATTTTAGAGTGATGATTACGGAATTTTCCCAAATCAACATTTTCGCAAAGATCGACCTGTCATTTCAACGACAAAAGTCAAAGTGATATCATCTTACACAGACAATAAAGTTATTATTATTATTATTATTATCTCAATGCCAATGGTACCAACTACTCCTAACACACTAAGAGCGCATTCAGTCAGTTACACAAAGAGTACATTAAACGGAACGTTACACGTTAAATTAGCATTTAACATCTCAAACTCCGCAATGAAATCAAGTGAATGACTTAAACTGATTTCAAAATTAAATATACCGGGTGGTGCCTTACGCCTCTTTCACGACTCGGCTAAATCTTAATACAACGTCCTTTCTTTCCTCTTATATCCTCTCTCGCGTTCATAGCTACTTCCGACCTATTCTATACTTCCTCCATTCGCGCTTGCTTCATGTCTCCTTTCGTTTTCGCTTTCTTTTCTTGCACCTCCTTTGCGCTACCTTTCCTCTCTCCATTTATTTTCAAATCTGCTTCCTCCTCGCCTCTTTCGTTCATGTCGGTTTCCTTCACACCTCTCACACTTCCTTCGCGTTCAGCGGCCTGGCATCTCTGACGTCTCTTCACTAATCATACAGATCTTTTTCATGCCTTTTGTCTTCAACCGTTCTTTGCGCTTCCATTCTTTTCTCACTTCGTTACTTGAATATGATACGCTTACACTTCATTTTCGCGCCTCCTTTCGTATCTTCTTTCTTCATTTACATATCTTCTTTTCGGGCCTGGTTTTCAGTTTCGCACATTGCGGACACTAATGCCTTCTTTACTACTCTGCTCTTCTGGTTCATGTATCGCCGCCTCTCTTAATCTTTCAATTACTTTCTTACTTTGATTAGCAATCTTTGGCAAATAAAAACCCCAGACCGTAGTTAACTTACTTTATCCGTTCTTTCATTTCTATTCCCATTACGTTACGTTTGCACCACCTTCCAACTATCTTCACCATCCTTTATACTTCGTCGCTACCTTACACCTCAACAACATCCATCAAACCTTCTCCGCCTCTCCTTCCGTCGTTTTTTATGTCTAATTTACGCCTGTCCTTTAACCTCAATCTTTTAGTCCATTTTCCCACTCGCCTCTTACTTTCCTTACGTACGTTCTTTGGTGCATACTTCTCGCAAACTTTACATGTTCTTCTCCTTCACGGTTCTTTTGCACTACCGCGACCTTGTAACGGTAACTCTAAATTTAACTTTATTCTTTCGAATTTTGTAGAGATTTTTTTCGATTTCAAGGGTTAGAGCAGGTTAAGACATTACATATAATAGAAATTTACAGGGTGTCGTAATTTAGAGGGCCGATTTTCCAATTAATTGCGTGCTTAGTGAAATTTCAAGAGGAAATCTGTAAGCGTTTGGTAGAATTGAAGATTGTCCTCCCTGCGTCTTTTCATTTCTCTAGAGCATTGTTTTATTAATAGATTCCGGATGTCTGAAGACGAGATGCCGCTTTAACTAGAGCTAAAGTGGGTTTAATGGGTCTTATCTACTCCAACCCACTGAAGTACGCGGAAATTAATGAAGCAGGTACTAACCTTAGCTTCCATTTAATTAAAAATGAAGAAAACAAATCAACGATTAAAGATGTCCGATTTGGTTAATAAGAAGCCATTTTGTAAGGGTTCATTAATAAGTAGTAATTAAGTCATTCCGGGAGATTGCTGAACTGCGAAGGTATTCATAGTAATGGTAACCTTTTAAGAAAAAGGAACAGAAATGAATCGCGAAAAAGACGCCAAGGAAGGGAATGTGAAGGAGTCGAAGAAGGGAGGATTTAACAAGACAAGTAAAATGCATAATTTAAATACAGATCCGCAACTATAACTTTGTATGTGTGAATGTTTGTTGCAGCATTGTAAAGAAATTAATTATTTGATTTATTCATAACCCAATTTGGTTTTTTAATTAACCGTAAGGAAACTAAGAGGGAATTAGAGTAAGTAACAAGCGCGGTTAGAAATGCAATTTTATTTCAGATATAAAGAGTAAATTAATTTTTATGCTGCAGTACGTGTGTATATTCGGGATGAAGTAAATGAAGCGGATCATTGTAATTAAAATAAGATCGAGTTAAATAAAAAGATTGATTTATTTATAGTACATAGGACGCCCAAAGCTAAAAAACACAAAAATTAATATATAACGTGGCATCCGATTAACATACTATTTATAGCAGGTTTTGTCAATGATTATGCTTATCAAAATAAACCAAACACCCTGTAAATTGTGGAAATACATTCTGCCAAATTTTTCCCAAGACTTCTGATGTGTGATTTCGCGTTAACCGAACAGTAAAATACACATTTTGATGGATGAAAAAAAAACAAGGATATTATTTGAAATGTTCGTTGCAATTATTATTAGAAACGGAAAATTTCAAGCATGATGTGATGATTAAAAATTACAGCTCGCATTTTATTAAATTCAAGTTGAAATAATTAATTGCTTTCCGATAGTCACCGTCAAGTACATTACATAATCATTAATAAAATCGATAGTTTCAAGTGTAATTTTGTCATGCAATTTTAACTAAACCTAAACGTAGGGTGTTCCACTTAAAGAATAATCAGACTACAAATTTGTAATAAACTAAAAATGTGTTTCATAGGGCTTTGTTGCTTAGTTTTTTATTGTTAGGCAGCCCTTAATTACAGTTACAACGTAGTGTATTAATTCCAAATATTAATCGATCCGCAGGGTTGGGAAAATTCTGCCCACTCTAAACCATAGTTTCATAATGGAAATAAATGTGAGCTTATATGAAATTAAATGTGGCAATATTATACATTGAGTTTAGTCAAAATAATCCCCCGTAAGGACGTGTAAGTAGTACGTTGAGCGGCCGATTAAGGCACTTGTTCGAGCGATACTTGAAGGTACCTTCCCCAAATTTCAAGTTTTGGCGTAAAATAATGTAGGTACTTACCGCAAATCCTTCTACTCCTTCGCCGACCAGCTCGATCTCACCGGCACACTCAAAACCAAGAATGAAAGGGCATTTCGGTGGCGAATCGATGGCGCCTTGACGCACCATTAGATCTTGAAAATTCAATCCGCTGTAACAAAATGACAAAATTTATAAAGCCACCTAACAACGAAAAAAGAGAATCGGCTCATAAATTATTCTATATGAAGACGAATTTGTATAACATTAAATTAATGCTACAAAAATGTGACTAAGTGGAATAAATTTGAATATTTAACTTTGCGGTGGATAATTTGTCGTTTTTTTTGCATTTGAGAGAGCGGCGGAAGGAAGTGATTGTATGATTAATTATTGGGTTGGACAATAAATAAAATATCGGAATTACACATTTAACAGTAAGTGAGCGTTGAACTTTTACGAGTTGTTAAATATGCAGGAGGTGTAACGTAATTTGCATACAGATACAGAAACATTAGTTCAACACGTAAATAATGGATTTGTGGGGGAGGTGTTCTTTGTTTTACGCTATTTATGTTAAGAACATATTTTTGCAATGCAGATGCCTCATAGATTGAGGTACTCATTTTGACAATTAGGGTTTTAACAACTAACCTAAGACTTCTAGTACTACGTGCGTTACTGCACGACTTCCAATTTTTTTCCAATAAACCTCAATTTCCTTTTTATGTGTCACATTCCAGAACAAAATTCGAGCGCAGAAACGAGGCCACATGTCCCAACTCCCAACAATGTTGCTTAAATTTAAAACTTTGTTTGAAATTTCATTCCAGAATCGCATTTCGAAAAATACATTTTCGATTCTGAAATGAAATTTTAAACTTCAAATGGAGACCTCATGAGGATAGGAAATAATAGGGAGTTTTTTTTTTTCCTATGACGCGATCTTGGGTAGCGCCCGGTAATTATGATTATACAGGGTTAGGCATGGAAGTATCACTACTTTTGAGATGGCGTTGTGAGTAGTGGGAACGTGTTGAAGGAGTGGGGGTACTACAGCAGTGTATTGACAATGAGGGTCATCACGGGAATAATGTGTTGTTTAACACAAAGTAAAATTATTATTAAAATTGACTTCCAGCTGTACCCTTTTGATGCCACAATAAAGTCTAGTTCTAACATTTATCTTTTTTTTTAAATTTACCTTCAAAGTTAGGAATACTTCCCTACCCCGCCCTGTACCGCTGAGTAACCTCAAATAGGTCATGGTGTCGATCAATAGGAAAAATCCAACGCCTCATTTCTAGCAAAAAGAGTTAATTTTTTTTAAATTTTATTTAACCTTTTGTTTCCATTTCTAAAATGTAAATGTAAGTCATTAACTATTATGTAATATAAAAAATGATTAATCTATAATATTATTACAGTTCAAATAACATACCACAGATAAGGTACAACAGATAACATCTATGAGGGGGGCTGAGTCCGACCTGGAGGTGTTCGCAGGGATGCCAATGAGAGATATAGATCGACGGAGGTTGATATATTGGCCGACGGTTCTAGTCAGAGGGCCGAGGCAGGGGGTGTATTCTAAATAAACGGCACCAATTTGACAACGAACGACAAGGTCACTTCCGGTTGACGAGTATTGACCACAATTTAATCAGTTACTCCCTTGAACATTGTCTACCTATTACTGAAAACAGAAAAGAAAAATTCCAAACCGTTCGCCGGTAATGATGTACACATACACAGACGGACGAACAAAAAGTCCAAAATCATGAACTCGCCCTTTCTCAAATAGGCTTACTCCTGCAGGATGTCATCCCCAACGACGCAGTCAATATCAATCGGTATCGGACTGTTCAGAGGTCCAGGAGAGCTCAGCGTCAGCTAGCGTTTATTAACGAGCTCCTAGTTAGTTTATAATTCTGTCCGTTAGCATAATATCTCGAAAACGAATAGACCGATTACGATGAAATTTTGCAGGTGCACTCTTTATCAAATTTGTAGATCGGAGTTTATGAATTGAAAACGTAGGTTGAAAAATAAGAAAGGCCCTTTTGATATCTCCATAAGTTATTAACCGAATTGCATGAAATTCAAAACGAGCATAGCTTTGGCCATATAATACGTAATTCCAAGCTATAGCCATACCCAGGAGCTAGTTTGCTATATTTGTTTAATTTCTTTACTTTGATATTTGGTATAGGAAAGCATAAACCGAAATCGAAATTCTTTTGAAATGATTTCATCAAAAATTTTATAACATAAACACGGAATCTATTTTCAGGATTTCCTACATCTGCAAAAACTGCTCAAACAAATTGAACAAAATGTTCAGACATTTATAACAAATTCCGCAATTCGGAAAAGACCAATTTTATTTTTTAAATGGAAGTTAATCTACATTGAAAAATAAGGGCAGTTTTTAATTATATCCTTATAACGGAGACGAACATTTGTACAGTCATTGTAATATTGGAATAGGGGCCTATGTTATACAGTGTGTAAAGCGATGGGATATACAAGAGGGATTTTTTTTTAAATATTGATCTATGAAAAAAATTTATTCTTCATGATATTTTTTGCTTGCTTTGAAAGTACCAATAACGTTTCGATAATCTAAAATTTATTTATAGAAATCTGGAAAAATAATAAAATTAATTGAAAGTTATCATTCTACATTATAATCAAGATAGCGTATTGCTATCAAACCACAAACAATCGAAACGTTATTGGTACTTTCAAAGCAAGCAAAAGATATCATGAAGAATAAATTTTTTTCATAAATCAATATTTAAAAAAAATTCCCTCTTGTATACCCCATCGTTTTACCCACTGTATATTCAATTTAGTAAAAATTTTCAACAGACTAAAAAAATGTACAAAGAAAACTTTAAAAAAATAATGCAGGTATAACCCGTAGGTAATCGTTTAAAATTGGCAATAGTTAACCGAAACAGGCTCAATTAAATAACTCGTATATACAAATTTTCAAAAATTAGTCATACTTAACGTCAGAGTACAGGCTTCCACGGCCATCAGAGTCGTGAAGAGACTTTCAGGATAGGACCATGTGAATGTTGAACGAAAAGTAGTGCGTGTTGCTCTCGAAAGTTTTTATATTTTATTTTTATTTTTGATTATTTTGTGTCTTGTCCTGATGAAGCCCCTCACGAAAGTAAGCGAAACGCGCAATCAACGAGTACTGGAAAAGATAGTCCTGCGTGCAAGTGTTGTGATTTGCGGAAAAAACAATTTGTTCGTGGGTCTGAATTGGAGTAGGGCTGTATTTTAAACCCGCGCATAAACTTGTGCGCAAAGAACGTCGGGGAAATGTACATAACCGGGTGCTCGTGATAATAAAATTCCGATAAAGAGAATTTGTTTTAATGCAGCGCGTACGTACTCAACTATTATCAATACAATTAAACTTCACCGTTCAAGTAAAGATCTATTCTTAAATTGCGATCACACAAAATTACACTAGAGAGTCGCACTGCTCGTTTTGTTCACGAAAAAAACTTAAATAAATTAAACAAATATAGCAAACGAGCTCCTGAGTATGAGATGTCGGAAGGGCCTTCCTTATTTTTTGACCTACATTCACGAACTCCGATCTACAAATTTGATAAATCTGAATCTGAAAAATTTCATCCTAATCGGTCCATTCGTTTTCGAGATATCGTGATACCGTGACGGACCGACACCGCAAAATTATACTCTCTAGGAGCTCGGTAATAATAAGCGGAAAAATTGACTTTATGTAGGATAGTTAGAATTTAGCTTTTTTTATTTCTTGTGCACTAACAACAACTCGATTTACGTCTTCGAGAATTTGACGCAAGTTTTGAATGCAGTTGAGGTAAATACAAGCTTCATTGTCCTGAAAGTTTCCATACTACGAGAGCAAGACATAAGAGGGCTCAACTTTATCACCCTAAAAGCGAACCAGTTTTCACTTTTTCTTGGAGGGATCTTTTTCAAGGACGGACCGCACCATTTGTAACTTAAACAACACACCGATTCCAGCGATATATTTAAGTGACTTTAATTTCTTTCGAATCGTAAGTATTTGGTCGGTTATCTTTAAGATTTGCAGCGGATGCTATTTTGACTGATGTGAAAAAAATCAATATTTTAAATCCCCAAACATGTAAAGGAGAAGAGAATTGGACCGAGACGACACGACAAAGAGAGACCGCGATTTGAACTTGAAGAAACTTTTAAGCGCCAGAAGTCGACCACCTACTCCTCGAAGACACGCGCTTTGTAAAAGTTGGTTCATTTCGCTCCTAGGAAAAAAAACAATCCGTCACACAAGAGTTGTGTGCGTTTACAAGCTCTTTCTGACGACACCAATTTGAAAACAATCGCACCAAAACTATAGAAGAAGATAGAAAAACACTGAAAAATCACCACGTTAGTAAACCCACGCCCGCAGATGGCGCCCAGATGTCCCTGACCCCACATCATCTAGCCTCTCCCTATGATCATATTTCCGTTCACTTTTGGCACAATGAGGGTTAGCGTGCAAGTGCCCCCGTCCCCAAATTTTCAAAATTACTTATTCGGAACCCTGTAGGTATACAGTAGGAGAATATGTTCTCTAGAATTTTGGAGAGGGCCTCCACAACTCCAATCAAACTTGCACAATTCTCAAAATGGGAGGTTCAGTTTAAATGAACCATTTTTCCTTTTTTTACAACTGAAAATATCACCTAAAAATCGCCCTTTTTTCATAGAGGCGAGTGTAGCAACGTTAACATGGACAGCGATATTATTTTGATTGTTCTAGTTCATACAGTACTAATCTCGGTGGTTTATTTGTGTTTTATTAATTTTAACACGTCACATACTCCTAGTATAGTCTTGTAAAAATGCGGGGGTGAATCTCATTAGCCTGATGGCTCCAACACTGGAGTAGGTAACGGATAAGTATGTCGTCCGTATTTTCGCACACCTTTTAAATTTGTATTCGTGCAAATATCCCGCCTGTAATTTCTAACACGTAATCTTTGGGTTAATTGAAAGTAGAGTACTTAGTACGAGTACCTGCAATTTTGGTTCCTATCGGTCAGGTCACCACGATTTAAAAAATCAAACCGACAATTAATATAACAATGCTGTGGATCTATGATTCATCATCCGTACGCTGAATAATAATAG